AAAAAAAAAAAAAAAAAAAAAAAAAAAAAAAAAAAAAAAAAAAAGTTAAAAAACAAATACTGAAACTAGTGGAGGCAGAATTTTCCAGAGAAAATGAACAGGAGATCCATATCTTAAGAGATTGTTTTTTTGTTTTTTTTTTTGGTTTTGTTTTTTCAAGACAGGATTTCTCTTTGTAGCCTTGGTCATTCTGGAACTCACTCGGTAGACCAGGCTAGCCTCAAACTCACAGAGATCCACCTGACTCTGCTTCCTGAGTGCTGGGATTAAAGATGTGCACCACCACTGTTCAGCCTTTTTTGGGGGGTGGAGGGGGACAGGGTTTCACTGTGGAGCAGCCTTGGCTGAAGCAGTGTTGGCAATGAGTCCCGTTTCCTGCTCCTGGGAGGAGGATTTGTTTGTGTGGTCCCAGGGCCTGACCCCAAGGTTATCATGTGATGGAGCTGCTCTCTACCTCCAGCCTCCGTCCTCACCCCAGGATGGGGTTCAACAGCTGCAGGTGCAGGGGTGCTCATTTCCGGCTCCAGTGGGACTCAACTGAGCTCGCAAGACGAGCACGCGGCTTGCAGTTTGTGGCGTCTTTGTATTTAGAGACAGGTCTTTACTCTAGAACCTATACTGGCCTTTGACATAGCAATTCTATTGTTTTAGCTCCCAAATGTTAGGATTACAGGTGTGAGTCACCATGCCACTAGAGCTGATTCTGACGGCTCTAGCTATTGCTACTGAAAGACCTGGATAAATCCAGACCCCCCTAGCAGGAAAAAATAGAGCCAAAAATCTAAGCAGGGAGAAATGAATCAGAAATCTAGGATTAGCTGGTTCAGTGACTGCGTTTCAGGAACTAGCTGAAGATAAAGTTAGATTGTAAATCTTGAGAATAATCTTGAGAAACAGGGAGTTTCCCAATTGTGATTATCATTGGTATTTTTGGAATATTGTGTTTCAGGAACTAGCTGATTATGACCTTGAGAGTGATCTTGAGAGGCAGGGAGTTGCCCCCTTGTGATCATCATTGGTATTTTTGGAATTTTCTATGATCCCCCCCCCCACCCCTTTGGATTACTGGGCTGTGGTTCCTTCCCTTAAAAACCCCTTCTCCTGGTTACTAGGGGTCGAACTCTTCCCCTGCGTGGGTTATGAGTCTCGGCCCCAGTGCACTGGTTCCCATCTCATCGATTAAACCTCGTGTGCTTGCAGCACGAACGGTCTCTCGTGAGTTACTGGGGGAGTCGTATTATCCTGAGAATTGGGTGAGAGTCTCCCCACACTGGGGGTCTTTCTCTACCTTTAGGGACAGTGTCAGCTGGAAAACTGGCTCCTGGCTTCCCCCTACTGGTGGCAAGTGTTCTAGCAGGAGCAGACTAGCAGCCAACCAGGAGTAAAATGACTTTCATCAGATCAACCTGCAGGTAGAGAGCAGCATCCTACTTATACTCACACAACCCTGGGTGATGCTGTGTTCTCTTTTTGCCTCGTCTGTTTTCTTGAGGTAAGATCTTCTTGTAGTCCAGGCTAGCCCTCAATCTGTGCTCTTTCTGTCTCCCTCTTCTGAGTGCTGGATTTACAGGCTGCAGCACCAATGCTGGGAACTATTCCTTTTGCTTCTAATCAGCTCTCCCCAATACATTTGAAACATTTTTTGTGTGGACGTGTGTTTCAGATTCTCAGATTGAAATGGCTAAAGGGAAGTGGTTTTCTGATTGAATGTTTAATAATAGTATACATAACATCAATTACAAATTGTTGTTAAAATTTATGTTCCTAAGGGAGTCAATGTTGAAGCTTAATGAACAAAAAAATATAGTAATATTAAAAATATAGATAGAAATCCCTAAAACAATACAGGGCAATCTCTTAGCTGCCCGCCAGAATTTGATGGTAAGAACCGACTGCTGTCATGAGGCACAGAGACATCTAGCTGTCGCTGACTGGCAGACTTCTTCCTGGCCAGGTAGCTTTATTTAGGAGAGTTCTGAATGTATTTTCTGTCAATTTCTCTGTGAATCTCAAAGCACTATAAAAACTTAGGTTTGTTTTTCTGAGACAGGATTTCTCTTGGTAGCCTTAGCTGTCCTGGAACTCACTATGTAGACCAGGCTGGGCTCAAAACCACAGAGATCTGCTGCCTCTGCCTCCCAAGTGCTGAGATTAAAGGCGAGTGCCACCACTGCCTAGCATTTCTTCTTTTAAAAATCCCATTCCCGCTGGAGAGATGGCTCAGAGGTTAAGAGCATTGTCTGTTCTTCCAAGGGTCCTGAGTTCAATTCCCAGCAACCACATGGTGGCTCACAACCATCTGTAATGGGGTCTGGTGCCCTCTTCTGGCCTGCAGGCATACACACAGAATATTGTATATATAATAAATAAACAAATAAATAAATAAATAAATATTGGGGCTGGAGAGATAGCTCAGCGGTTAAGAGCATTGCCTGCTCTTCCAAAGGTCCTGAGTTCAATTCCCAGCAACCACATGGTGGCTCACAACCATCTGTAATGGGGTCTGGTGCCCTCTTCTGGCCTGCAGGCATACACACAGACAGAATATTGTATACATAATAAATAAATAAATATTTAAAAAAAAATCCCATTCCCTCTATTTCATATTCTACTTTCAGAAAATGTTTACTATCCCTATATAAACTTGGTGTCTAGGAGCTGGAACAATGTCCCAGCAGTTAAGATTACTGGCTGCTTTTACAGAGGACCTGGGTTCAGCTTCCAGCATCCACGTGGCAGCTCAAAATCTGTTTGTAACTCCAGTTCTAGGGAACCTGACACTCTCTTCTGACCTCTACAGGTTACTGCATACACAAGTGATATACTACAAACACGCAAGCAATCCACTCATACATATAAAATAAATCTTTAAAAAATAATTAAGGTTAACTGGGTGGTGGTAGTGCAGGCCTTTAATCCCAACACTTGGGAGGCAGATCTCTGAGTCTGAGGCCAGCCTGGTCTACAGAGCAACTTCCAGGACAGGCTCCAAAGCTACAGAGAAACCCTGTATCCAAACAAACAAACAAAGATTGCTTAGTGTGTATACACACACACACACACACACATATATATATATTTTTTTTTCCTCTTCAAGATAGGGTTTCTCTGCAGATTTGGAGCCTGTCCTGAAACTAGCTGTTGTAGACCAGGCTGGCCTCGAACTCACAGAGATCCACCTTTCTCTGCCAGCGCCACCACCGCCAGGCAAATATTTATTTATTTTCTTTTTAAGATTTATTTATTATGTATACAACATTCTGCCTCGATGTATGCCCGCACGCCAGAGGAGGGCGCCAGATCTCAGTACTGATGGTTGTCAGCCACCATGTGGTTGCTGGGAATTGAACTCAGAACCTCTGGAAGAACAGCCACTGCTCTTAACCTCTGAGCCATCTCTCCAGCCCCCGCAAATATTTATTTTTAAAAGTGTACATTGTACTTTTATATAGTGAGTGTTTTTTCTGGAACTGTCTCAGAACATAAAGAGGTTATAATTATTCATTTTCTGTGCAACATAAAGGGGTTACAGTTATCATCTACTTTCTGTGCAACTGATGCACCTGGAGTCTACCTCTGAAATAGGAATAAAATACGTTTTTAAAAGAATTACTTTGAGCCAGGCAGTGGTGGCTCAAGCCTTTAATCCCAGCACTTGGGAGGCAGAGGCAGGCGAAACTCTGTGAGTTCAAAGTCAGCCTGGTCTACAAAGTGAATTCTAGGACAGATTCCAAAGCTACGGAGAGAAAAATCCTGTCTTGAAAAACAAAACAAGCAAATAAAAAAAGGAAGTATTCTAACCAAGCCCAGTAGTCTACAGGAAAGCCAGGAATGTTACACAGAGAAACCCTGTCTCAAAAACGAAACACACAAAAAAGAATTTTTTTATTTACGTCTCTCTCTATGTGTGTCTTTTGTGTGCCAGAGAGTGCAAGTTCTCATGGAAGCCAGATGTTTCAGAGTCTCTGAAGCTGGAATTAGCGAGGAGGTGAACCATACAAGCCATCTCTCCAGGCCCAAATCTTTTTTTGTTTGTTTTTTTGAGACAGGGTCTCTCTGTGTTGCTTTGGAGCCAGTCCTGTAACTCATTCTTGTAGACAAGGCTGGTCTTGAACTCACAAATATCTGCCTGCCTCTCGAGTGCTGGGATTAAAGGTGTGTGCCACCACCGCAGGCTGGTCCAATTTTTTTTTTTTTAATTTAAAGAAGATTAAGGAAAATTAAGGAAAAAATAAAAGAACTTATAAGATCATTTCACTTCCTGTCTCTACAGGTTTATAAACAAATCGATCGATCAGAGAACGGAGGCCAATAATTTTGATATCTTTTTAGTCTCCTTTTTAACACAGTTCTCATTCTTTTTAAATGTTTATTTTTGTGTGCATACATGTTTCACCTGTATCCATGCGTGTGCACCATATGATTCCCGTGCCCATGGAAGCCAGAAGCAGACGTTATATTCCATGGGAATTAAAGATGACAACCAACCTCCCACCTAAAACCTTGGTACAATGAATGTTCCATCACTTCCTAGATTTGTCTGAACCTCCTTATTTGAGCATTTTCCATAATAGGTTTCTCTTTGCAAGATATTTTTTATTTCCCTTACTTCTTCATTAAAGACTGGCTCCGTGCAAATAAATACTGAACATCATTTTGGGTCTTGCAATTTCTCTAGGTGACTTAACTTCTACTTCCTCATTCTGGTTTGGCTGACCCTCTGAGATCTCTCAGGACTGACCACTGTTTCTCAGGTCCTCCGATCTGTCCGTCTCAACTCCATCCTTCCGGCGTCACCTCGTGCTCGCTGAGCGGGACTCTCTAAGCCACATCTTTGGGCGTCTCCATCCTTCCTGGGAAGCTCTAGTGACGCAGCTGAACTCCCGGTTCAAATCTGCAGCGGGAGTCTCAACTCGCCCGGTGCACCGATCACGTGTTTACGGGCAGACACCTGCAGGTTGACCCCGGAAGGGTTTTCACTTTTCCGTCCTCCAGCATCCCCCAGCTTCCCTGGCTGCTGCAGCGAGGTTTGAGCACAGGCTCCGCCCGCGCAGGGCGTGTCTGTCGGGGCGTGGCGCGCCGGGCCGACGCGGGCCTACGTACGGTACGCGCCTCCCCGGTCCGGGGGCTGCAGGCCCCACCGCCGCCCTCTCGGAGGCGGGCCGGGCAGACTGCGGCGGCCATGTTTGTGGCGCGCAGCATCGCGGCGGACCACAAGGACCTCATCCACGATGTGTCTTTCGACTTCCACGGGCGCCGGATGGCCACCTGCTCCAGCGATCAGAGCGTCAAGGTGCGTGCGGGGCGCTCGGCTGCTCGGGGCCGGGGACGGAGGGGACGGAGGGAGGGAAGGACGGAGGTGGCGAGGACGGGAGCAGATCCGACCGAGACGCACGCGACCCGTGGCCACGGACGCCGCCGCCCCGGAAGCGGCGAGAGCCCTCCCCGCCGGCGGATTGTGGGGTCACGGCCGCCCGCGCTCGCGGCGGCGCTCTCCCTCTGTCGCGCCTGCGCGGCAGGATTCCCGGCCTCGGGGCGCTGAGCGCACGCGCGCGCCGAGTTTCCGGCGTGGATCCTGGTGGACCGCGACTGTGGTGGCTCATCGTGGGGATGTCTTTTCCCTTTGGCCGTGTGTGTGTCTCAGTTCTGTGGGCCTCCTCGCCTGTGTTGGCTGGGACGCTTCCCTGATTGGATTCCCATGAAGGGGAAATACACACAGCGCAGTTGTGTTCTTGGTTTTTGGAGACTGTCTCAGTCCTCCAGTCGCGGCTTCAGCCACGTTGGGGTTACAAAGCATGAACTCCGATTAGCCGAAAACCTGACATTTTTACTCTTGGTCATGTTCCCGTGGTCTCCGAAGATCATTTTAACGAGTGTCCGTTGAATATGATACGATATATTATTGTTTGGAGACAGGATCTCAGTTCTGTAGCCCCGGTGTTGCACCTGCCTCTGCTGGAGTGTTGTGATTAGAGATGTGCGCCGCTCCTCCAACCCCTCACTTTTAAAGATTAATTTGCGTGAGTGTTCTGCCTGCATGTAGGTATATGCACCGCCTAGTGTCTGATCCCTTGGAGATAAGGTTGTGATCCGTCTTGATGGGATACCCGAACCCGGGTCCCTTTAAGGGCTGAGCCAACTCTTGTCCGATGAGTACAGCTGGTTACAGGTAACGGACATCAGTTAAGCCCTTAGGAATGTTGTTTAGACTAAGATAATGTAGCAATACTGGGAGAGAAGGTAGTTTTGCATGCAAAGCTTACATGTAAAGACAGCGAGCGAAGGGGCTGCTTCAGCTGTCAAGCCACCAAACTGCTTTGCCGCTTTCACAGCTCGGTCGCTGGACTACTAATCTGTGCTGCCTCTGCTGTCCCTGATGATGATTTTTTTGTTACCACTTTTGCCCGTGCTACTGAAAGTAGGCAAGAAATAACCATCTGAAGCCGGGCGGTGGTGGCGCACGCCTTTAATCCCAGCACTCGGGAGGCAGAGGCAGGAGGATCTTTGTGAGTTCGAGACCAGCTTGGTCTACAAAAGCTAGTTTCAGGACAGCTCCAAAGCTACAGAGAAACCCTGTCTCGAAGAAAAGAAAAAAAAAAAAGAAATGACCAACTGGGAAGCCTTTTTATTAGGCATAATGTTGTCGCACAAGGAGAGATGGGACAGGAGAGTGACCTCCAGCTGACTGGCTTAGTGAGCCTCAGCAGCCTGCTTATATACCAGAGAATGGGGTCTTTGAACCACAGCCATGAACCTTTAGCATCTGTTACAGCAGGTTGACTTGGCTCCTGCTTGGTGGAAATGGTCATCGAGAGTTCCCAAGGCTCGTTATTGTAAGAAGTGCAGACAGCCACTCTGGAGCCGTGCCTTCATGGGGCGGTCAGTCACAGTCTTTCAGAGGGTTGGTGGTTAGGTTGTCTGACACCAACAGTGCCTCCTGATATTAAGTTAATTAAATTAATCCTCTTCTGGGATTAAAGACATATATCACCAACCACCTGTCTTTTTTTTTTTTTTTTTTTTGGTTTTGCTACAAGATGCTCTGTATCCCAGGCATTTTTGATACAAAGTCTTGCTATATGTGTAGCTCAGACAGTCTTCCTCCTTCATTATTCCAAGTGTTGGGATTATAGACCATGTCTGACTACAAAGAGAACTAAAATAACTTACTAATATTAAGTGATGTAAAAAAAATAGACTTAGCAAATGTCAAGTGCCCCTCTGTCTTGGGATGGCTTTTTTTTCTCCTAGAAAAAATGAAAAACAGAATAACAAATTAATATGCATCATTATTTTTTTTCTTACTAAATTTAATTTGTTACTTCAAAGTAAAAACCCACTGTGCTCCTCCTTTCCCTCCAAGCTGGTCTGGAACTTATAATATAGACTATGCTGGCCTGGAAATTAAGAGATCTACTTGCCTCTGCCTCCCAAGAGTTGGTTTATAGGTGTGTGCCACCATGCCTGGCCCCACTGTGCTTTCTCAGGCATTTACAAACATGTGGGATGGCCATCTGTCTGCAGAATAGTCTCATTATTCTTTTTTTTTTTTAAATATTTATGTATTTATTTATTATGTATACAATATTCTGTCTGTATGCCTGAAGGCCAGAAGAGGGCGCCAGACCTCTTTACAGATGGTTGTGACCCACCATGTGGTTGCTGGGAATTGAACTCAGGACCTTTGGAAGAGCAGGCAATGCTCTTAACCTCTGAGCCATCTCTCCAGCCCCCAGTCTCATTATTCTTAATCGACACTGTGTCCAATAACTCCCCATCCCTGTCAGCCTAGGGCTCCTGGTTGCACCTTCCTGGCTGCGCTGGAACAGCACGACTGTCTTTGTATTTGGCTGTTACTATAAACAAATCTTGTTCACAGTCCACTCAGTGCCGCAGTCTGTACACTTATTTTGTCCTTGTGTTCGTGAGTTCCAGTGAACATGGCTTAGGGAGTGAATGCTTCCTTCTGCTGCTTCCTGTGGCGTTGGCGTTGATGTTTTCCTTGTGCTTGTACTCATTGGCCTTTTTTTTTTTAATAGGTCTGGGATAAAAGTGAAAGCGGAGATTGGCATTGCACTGCTAGTTGGAAGGTTAGTTTTTATTTTTACATGGTTTGAGAAAATTGAAATGTTTGCTATTTTAGTATTAATTACTTGGTGTTCAGCTTCAAAAAATGATAAAATTGATATGGTATTCTTTCCTGGAAAGATAGCTTCTGGTTTATTAAATTATGACTTTATTATTAAAGAAATAGGAAATTTGAGAATAAAATGTGTAGGTGTGCCCAGGTATGGGATCCCAATGCTTTGGGAGGGCTGAGGCAGGAGATTGCCATGAGTAAGAGGCGAGCCTGGATTACAGAATGAGACCCTGTCTCAAAACTAAAGACTGGAAAAATAGTATTTTTTGTAGCATTCTTTAACCACTACTAGGATTTCAGCATATTTCATGTTTTTTCCCTCCTTTCCTTATTAGTCCCAAATTTATACTCTTTCTCTGTTAAACCAAGAAACAAAAACAATCCCCTCACAAAAAAATACTTACAAAACCACAAAAATGAAACAAAAAACAAGCAAAAGACCATAAGAACATCAAACGAAAGCAAAGTGAAACAAAACCCCACAAAATTACCACTGAGGTCTTTTTTTTTTTTTTTTAAGATTTATTTATTATGTATACAACATTCTGCCTCTGTGTATGCCCACACGCCGGAAGAGGGCGCCAGATCTCATTACATACAGATGGTTGTGAATTGAACTCAGGACCTCTGGAAGAGCAGCCGGTGCTCTTAACCACTGAGCCATCTCTGTGCTGACCAACTGCTCCTGGGTGTGGGGCCTGCCCTGAGGTGTGGTTGATAGACTCAGTGAGACTCCATTGGAGAAAACTGAGTTTTTTCCTTTGCTGACAGGTACCAACTGCAGGTAGCTTCTTGGTTAGGGTGGTACTCTGTGTCTAGTTTTCCCTTTCAGCCCTGGGACCCTCCGGCTTGAACCTGTGCAGGCCCAGTTGTGTGCAGCCATAGTGTCCCTGAGTTTGAACATCAGCCCTTTTGTTCTGGAAGACACTGTTTCCATTGCCTCTGGCTCTTAAAGTCTTCTTACCTTCTCTTCTGCATAGATCCCTGAGCCTGTTTAGGACTGAGTGTTTCAAAGTCTATCACTCTGCTCATTGTCCAGTTGTGGTCCTTTTGATGTGTTAATACCCATCTACTGCAGGAAGCAGCTTCTCTGATGTGAGTTGGGCATCTATGGGTATACCAGTACGTCATTAGGAGCCACTTTATTACTATGTTCGTTTATCAAAAAATAGTAGGTGACGTACCTAGTCACAGGTTCTTGGCCATTTTGGCAGTCAGGTATGAGTTCTGTTTCATGGAGTGGGCCTTAAATTCAATCAGAAAGTGGTTGATCTCTTCTACAGTATCTTAGCCACTACTGCTCCAATATATCTTGTAAGAGGGGTCACTTGTAGGTCACAGGGTTTGTAGCTGGGTGACCCCAACTGTGCCTTTCAGGCACTAGCATCAGTTTTAGGTTTAAATCATTGTCTCAACCTCTAGTTCTGTAAGTTGGTCTCAAGAGGTCTTTAAGGCCATTTTTGCTTGAGAATCAGTCTGTTCCTCCTTAGTCTGGTCCTCGTAGACCGTTTACTTCTGCTTATAGGGTGAAGCTCTATCTTTACTTTTGATTGCTTGCCCTTTAATGTGGGGAGATCTGTCCTCTACTTGTTGGCTCTTCCCTAACAAGTTGACTGCAGGTTTAGTGAGAACAGGGATTTCTATCCATGGCTTCAGCCTTGCAAGGGGATGAGATGGGATAGACAGCTACTCCTAAGTGATTGGC